GGGGTTTCACCATGTTGACCAGGATGGTCTTGATCTCTTGACCTCGTGATCCACCCGCCTCGGCCTCCCAAAGTGCTGGGATTACAGGCGTGAGCCACCGCGCCCGGCCTCTGATTTTCATCTTAAAGGAATTATACCCTTTTGCAAGGTATAATTCCTTTAAGATGAAAGGTATATATCTACAAAAGTTATATATTTACAGAAGGATATATATGTCACAAAAAATATTGTCAAACTAGATGCTGGGGACATTTATTCTTTTTAATAAATTTATGTGAATGCATTTCTTATCTTTGACTTGTAAGGCAAAGAATTTCAGAGGTGGAAAAAAGATACTGATGAAATTCTCCAAACAGGAAAATTTTTCTGTAGGTTTCGGAAAATAAATAGGGTTTTAAGAACAATTATCTTTTCCTATTTATACCAGTAGCAAATCTTCATAAAAAATAGAAACTTTCCAGAAACATATAATGTATAAAATGCTCTCCTTAAGTTTACCCCCAGCTGATACTCACAGTAAACATTTTTAAGATAATAATTTTCACAAAAACAATCATAGCATAAGTTTTCTAACGTTTTATTTTACTCAATATACCTTTGGCATATTTTAGTTTCTAAAAACTGGGTGAGATTTTAATGAACAGACATATAGAAATTTAAATTCCCAAATTTTAGGCATTCAAGTTTCCCAATTTAAATAAACAGTGTTTCTTTATACATATGTTCAAACAATTATGTAAGCATTTCTATATGGATAATTCCAAGAAGCTAAGTTGTTGAATCAAGGGATATGGACATCTTTTCTAAATAAATCTTACCTTCCAAAACTGTACAACTGAGTGTGCCTGTATATCCATACACGTTCTAACACTGAATATTGTAAATCACTTGTCTTCAGCAATCTGAAAGATTTTTAAAAATCTCATTCTTGTTTTATTTAAATTCTTACTCATGAACCTTTTCACATTCATTATTCTTAATTATGTGTTCTATGAATTTATGCAGGTTAAGTACTTTGTCTATTTTCTATTCGCTTGTTCATATTTTTTTTTTTTAGTAAGATAAAAGTTCTTTTTATATTAGGAAGATCAGCTGTGTCTTTTAGATGTGTGGCATATTTTACTTTTAGCTTATATTTTAATCTTACTTTTTTCATTCAAAAATTTTGATTTTACAAGGCCAGTTTCATCTATCTTTTCTTCCATGGATTTTTCAGTTTTATGTCTTTAGGGTTTTGTATTATTCTTAAAAAGGCGCTTCCCACTCCAGCTTTCCAACCTATCTCCCTGCTTCCGTCCTTGCCCAACCCCTACACATTCAAGTCTATTATTAACGTAGCAGCCAAAATAATAATTTCAGTACCTAAGTTTAATTATGTTACTCCTCTAACTCAGAAACCTTGAATGAGCCACGCTGGGTAGGTCACGCCTGTAGTTCCAGTTGCTCAGGAGGCTGAGGTGAGAGGATCGCTTGAGCCCAGTAATTTCAGGCTGCACTGAGCTATGATCACACCACTCACTGCACTCCAGCCTGGGTGACAGAGTGAGACCATCTCTAAAAAAAAGGAAAAATAAAGAGAAGAGAAAACAAACTTTGAATAGCTTATCATTTTATCATTTCAGAGTAAAAATATCCTTGCACTCACCCAAGGCTCTCACTATCTCCACACCCAACACTTTTGTTCACTCAGCTCTGGACATGCAAGCATCCTTCCTTTGCTCAAAATACTTAAAACACACCCCACTGCAGGCTTTTGCATTTGTTATCCCTCTCCCTGAAACATCTTTACCCCTAATAGTCCATTCCCTCAGCTCCCTCAGTCTTTGCTCAAATGTCAATTTACTAGTCAGGTCCTCAATGAATACCCTATTTAAATTGCATAATTTCATTCTCACCCCAAATTCTCTATTTCCTTTATTTTCTCCTTAGCACTAACATTCACCGTCTCTGTACACTATATATATATTTTGGTTTACTGCCTGCTTTCCCATCACACACAGACACACACACGATTATAAATTCCATGAAAGGAAGGGCATTGTTTTGCTCAAAACTATAGTTCCAGCTTCCACAATAGTGCCTGGCACAGTAGGTAAATCAATATTTGTGAAAGAAAGGGAAAGAGGGAGAAAAAAAAACTTAAAAGCATTTTTCACCCATCAGTTTGGCAAAGATAAAAATATTTTATAACACTGTGTTGACAAGTATAGGTAAATAAGAATATCGCTGGTAGAGTCCATGATTGATGATTTGGCATTAACAAAAATACAAATGCCCCTACTTTACGTTGTAGTAGTTCCCTTTCTAGAAATATAGACTAGGGATATATCCTTACACATGAAAAATGATGTGTGTTCACAGTAAGTTATTGCAGCAACATTTGAAAAAGAAAAATTGGAAACAACCTCATGACCACCAGTGGGGTAGTTATTAATAAATTTTGGCACATAATACACAGTTGAATACCATGCAGTTGTTTAAAAAAGAGCAAGACCAAGGAACACTTATGTTCAGTCTTTACCAAGATCACTTGGTTAAAAAAAAAAATAAGCAAGGTACAGAAATGCTACCACTTGTGTAGAGGGGAAAAGCGGGGACAACCTATAGCAGTGTAATGTATCTATAGAAGGATATACAAGTCATGAAAAATATTGTCAAACTAGACGCTGGGGGGACATTTACTCCTTTTAATAAATGTATGTGAATGCATTACTTATCCATGGTACTTATTTAATAATTAAACCGATAAAAATATTGAGAGGTGGGAAAAACGTTTAAGGAGGTACAGACAAGACTTGCTCGCAGGCCCCGCAATCCCATCAGTACAAGGTGCATAAGCCAGGTCCTCCACTGGCTAGGGCTGAAGAGGCAAGCCCTGAAACTGCCACAGAGCCGTAGCTTCCTAGAGCGGCCCGGAAGTGCCCAGCTGCAGCGGCCAGGCTCCGATTGGTGTCTTTGAGTCTAGTCTTTGTTCGGGGCTGCCCAAAGGACGCTAGCTGTCGCACCTGTTCCCTGCACGCAAGGTGAGTGTCTCCCAGCTCCCAGGTGGAGAAGAGGGGACAGGGTGCAGGTGTGGTCAGCAACACCCTCCCCACAACTCCCTGCCGTGGGCACAGTGTGACACTCCTGTCCCTCCCTCCGTGCCCCGACAGATCTGCAGGCAAGGAGTTGGCCCGACCTTCCGGGAGAGGACGGGTGGAAGGGGGACACTGGTTGCGGGTTCCTCTGCAGAGGCATCCATCTGATCCCCTTCCAGGGTTGGCACACATATCCTATAACCAGTGAGTCCTGGGGACACAAGCTGGCCCATGCATCTCCCGGGACTAGAATGAAGAGCCTTTTAACAAAGCAGTTAATAATACTTGGCATTTATTTAGTGCTTACTAGTGCCCGCTGCCATGCCAGGGATGTTGCATACGTTCTCATGTAATCTATATATCAACCCTGTAACACACATGAGAATTGTACATGAGGATCTGTAGTTCTAGTCCAGATAAATAACTTCCTCTAAGTTACGCAATAAAGCACAGATTCACATCATGTACCTGCGTCACTGTTTTTTGGTTTTTGAGGGTTTTTTTTTTTTTCCAGCATCCTATAAGACTTTTCTCTGATTCATTTCTGGTGGCTTGGCTTCATTATGATGTGTTTATATTCACAGCAGTTTTTGTGATTTCTCTATGGTAACAACTTTTTATGCTTTAGGAGTGGCTCTGAGGCCAGATTCTAAGAAATTCTCTTTGACTTAATCCCAGATAGAGGATAAATCTCCCGAAAAATCCAAGAATGACCACAGCCCTGGAACCTAAGGAACCAAAAGGACTTCTGATAATTAAGGCAGAGGACCATTACTGGAGACAGGAATCCATCTCACAAAAGTGCAATCCTCACAGGAGGGAACTCTATAGGCAACATTTCAGGAAGCTCTGCTATCAAGATGCACCTGGACCCCGTGAAGCTCTTTCCCAGCTGTGGGAGCTCTGTCGTCAGTGGCTAAGGCCAGAATGCCATACCAAGGAGCAGATTTTAGACCTGCTCGTGCTAGAACAGTTCCTGAACATTCTTCCTAAAGACCTGCAAGCATGGGTGCAGGCACACCATCCAGAGACTGGAGAGGAGGCAGTGACTGTACTGGAGGATCTGGAGAGAGAGCTTGATGAACCTGGAAAGCAGGTGTGAAGGGGCAGTCATTTGGCTGTGAGAGACCAGGGAATATGGACAAAGCCAAAGCAAAAGGCATATGAAAGAACATCTGAAAACATTTAATATGTATACCCTAAAGAACAGGGCATAGGAAGGGACGTGACTATCTATGTCAGATAATTCAAATGTGGCTGGGTAAAGAGAAAAGAGTCACTAGACTGATTCTATGCCTGTTTGGAAGGCTAGGTTCAGTGGGAAGTTACTGAAAGGCAATCAGGTATCACAGGAAAACAAATAATTTTCTGCCATTCATAGCTACCCATAAATAAAATAGGCTACCCCATAAGAAACTCCCTTTCCATATAGGTATTCAAGTGGAGATTCAAGTAGATGTCAAGGATATTGCGGAATAGCACTGTCCCACAGAAATATAATATGAGCTGCATATGTAATTTAAATTTTCTAGTGGCCACATTTAAAAAAACAAAAACAGGTAAAATATGTTTTATTTAACCCATAATATTTGATCATGTAATCAATATTTTTAAATGAGGTTCTTTAGATCTTTGTGTTTTAAATTTTCAGTTTGATATGCATTTTACATTTAGCTTATCTCATTTGTACTAGCCATATTTTAAGTACTCAGTAACCACATTTTGCTAGTGACTACCTGATCGGACAGCATGGTTATAGAAGAAATGCTCCCATTTGCTGGAAGTTGGGCTACATGATTTTTAAGCTACCTTCCAAATCCCAGTGCTCTGATCCTGGACCTCTGCAGATCAGTGAAAGAAGAGACACTGAATTTTACCCTCTAGTGTCCTGAATTGTAGAGATTAGCCTCTGTTCCTTTTCCTAGGCGTTATTGCCATTTTCAATGAAATGAGAATTTGTCCTCCCTTTCTATGTCCCCGGCAGATGTTTCGTTTGATTGTTTTATCTGAAGTTACTTCAGTTTCCATAAAATTCACCTTACATACCTCATTGTCCCTAGGTCCAAACTAATTCAGAAAGTCAGGACATACTCATGGACAAGTTGGCCCCCTTGGGAAGGCCGTATGAATCATTGACTGTCCAGCGCTATCCCAAGAAGACCCAGCTGGAGCAGGAAGCTGGGAAGCCACACAGGAAAGGTAAGTAGGAAGAGCTCTGTATGAGGGAATAGGTGCTTCCTTAGGTTTGAGAAGAACTTTCTGACTTTCATCTTTTCCTTTTAAAGATTTCCTGCTTGTCCTCCACCTCACTGGATAATTTTAACCTCTTCTTACCCTTACTCTACAATGGAGTTATATTTTAGTTTTTCACTAGGCAAAAAAAAACTGTTATTTGGCTCAAAGGATGAGGATGGGGTTTATTTAATATCTTTATAATTCTATTTGTTATCTAATGATTCTAGCTCCAAATTCCCCTAAATTTCCATTTTGAGATAGGAGAATTTATGGCACCCCGTATTAGTCAGTGAGGGTTACCATACAGAATACCATAGACTTATGGGTGGCTTAACAACAGAAATTTATTTTCTCACAGTTCTGGAGGCTGGAAGTCCAAGATAAAAGTGCTTACAGGGTTAGTTTCTAGCAAGGCTTCTCTTCCTTGGCTTGCAGGCTTCTTGCTGTGTCTTCACATGGCCCTTCTCTATACAGACACACTCCTGGTTGCTCTTCCTCTTGTAAGGACACTAGTACTACTGGATTAGAGTCCTACCCTTATGAACTTCATTTAACTTTAACTACTTCATTAAAAGCCCTACTGTCATATATAGTAATGTTGGAAAGGAGTTGAGGCTTCAGTATATGAATTTGGGGAGAAACATAAGTCATAACACATTCCCATGATGAAAGAAGTAGGGAAGAGAGAGAACGATCAGTCAATATAGCAAAGTTTCTTGTTTTTATCTGCATGTCAAATTAACTGGGTTTGGTCCCCCATCCCAGCTCCCTAATTACAAACCGGGGTGTCTAGAGTATCCCCAAACTACATTAAAAAGCAGGTGAGGCCAGGCACGGTGGTTCACACCTGTAATCCCATCACTTTGGGAGGCCAAGGCAGGTAGATCACAAGGTAAGGAGTTCGAGACCAGCCCCAACCAACGTGGTAAAACCCTGTCTCTCCTAAAAATACAAATATTAGGTGGGCTTGGTGGTGCATACCTATAATCCCAACTAGTCAGGATGCTGAGGCAGGAGAATCCCTTGAACCCAGGAGGTGGAGGTTGCAGTGAGCTGAGATTGCACCACTGCACTGCAGCCTGGGTGACCGAGCAAGACTCCACCTCAAAAAAAAGAAGCAGGTGAACTTTAAATGTTTAAATTCCAGTTTGTCCAAACCCTACCCTTTCCAGTGCTCACCGCCCTTTCTCTAGAGGCTCTCATGTCTAATAATGCCTCTCCAGGTAGTTCCTTATACTCCAGCCTATTTTGTATTCTTACTACTTAAATTTTACCAATGTAGGTTCTTCCATTCTGTAGGATCCCTACCAGATTATTTGTCTAATCTGAAAAATTATTTTGAGCTAAGATGTTCCTAGCTGCTATCTGGAAAGGATGACATTTAATTATATGCAATTTAAAGAAGCCCTTCAGTGCTTTAACTCTAGGAGTGGAGTGCTGGTTGGTTACTGTTTGGCTTTAGAAGTGGGATTCAGAACCTCCTATCTGTTCTTTTTTATTTAACTTTATTTAGAGAGATCTCACTGTGTTTCCCAGGCTTGTCTCAAACTCCTGGGCTCAAGTGGTCCTCTGACCATAGCTTCCCAAAGTGCTAGGATTATAAGCGTGAGCCACTGTGCCTGGCTCAGCCTGTCTGTTGATTCATTCCTTTCACTGAGCATTTACTGAGTAGCAGCTATATGCCAGGCACTATAGTAAATGTAAGGAATCCAAAGGTAAGATACTTAGATAACTTCTCTTCAAGAAACAGGAGAGTGAGCATTTACAATACGATAATAATTACTACACTAGAGATACACTGTGAACTACAAAGACAACGGCTATCCCTGAGGTGTGCCTGCAAAAGTATCACAGATTACGTTTGCTTGAGCTGAGAAGGTCAGGTGGGAACTGGAAAGGGGTGAAATTTTAGGCCATAAATAAATAAATAAATCCATGAAGAAAATAGCATCAGAGCATAACATTCTAAGAATAGCAACTGCTCTGAGTTTGATTCTGAAAAGGAGGAGTCTGTGGGAAGGAAAATCAGGAATCTGTGTTTTAATAAACTGTCCAGCTGATTCTGATGCACAATAAGGTTAGAAAGCACTGAGCTAGGATTTAGACAGGAGATGACAGCAATGACATCAGTTTCAGGCAAAAAAATATTTTATCCAACATATACACTATCCATTGTCATTTCCTGGTCGTTTTCATTCCTCTATTTACCCTGACCTGCATGCTGTCACCTTACTTCCAGCTAATTATTAGCCTTCAAACATATTCCCCTCTTTGGATGGTTCTTATTCACTATATTCCTCTCAGGCCCCAAATCCTATTAACCTTTCCAGTCACTTTTACTTGATTTTACTTGCCACCTATGTTTCAGGCCCCTGCATGTCTCTCTGAAACTTTTAGCTCCCTCCACATCTCTGTCCTCCAGTCTATTTATCAGTCCCTCTTAGTTATCTTTGGCACATCTATAGTCCCCTCATTTATCATTCGTCCCTTACATAGTATTGCTGGTTTATCTCTTGAGCTCTATTTTTGCCTTTTCTTCTCTTAGTCTACTTTCAAATAACTTATCCTGCTGATATCTTCCTTACTTCTTAATTTCTTCCCTACATTTTGACTCTGTGCCATGATTATACCAAAAATAAGATGGTACCAAATATCTGATACATATGTTGTATGTGACTTCTCATTATTTTGTAACACAGTTATAATATTTACATGTTCTTTTTTCCATTGGCTGTTTGCTTCTCAAACATAGAATAGGACCGTTTGTATACTGTTTGTTTGTTACAGGAGATAAAACTAGGACTACGAATGAAGAGTTGTTCCAGAAGGAAGATATGCCCAAAGACAAGGAATTCCTTGGGGAGATAAATAACAGACTGAACACAGATACTCCTCAGCATCCTAAGACCAAAGATATTGAAAATGATGACAGATCAGAATGGCAACAGAGGGAAAGAAGACGATATAAATGTGATGAATGTGGGAAAAGTTTCAGTCATAGCTCAGACCTTAGTAAACACAGGAGAACTCACACTGGAGAGAAGCCCTATAAATGTGATGAGTGTGGAAAAGCCTTCATTCAGCGCTCACATCTCATTGGACATCATAGAGTACACACTGGAGTAAAACCCTATAAATGTAAAGAATGTGGGAAAGATTTCAGTGGGCGTACAGGTCTTATTCAGCATCAGAGGATCCACACAGGTGAAAAACCCTATGAGTGTGATGAGTGTGGAAGGGCTTTCCGAGTAAGTTCAGCTCTTATTAGACATCAAAGAATTCATACAGCAAATAAACTCTACTAATACAGTAGTAATATCAAAAGTTCTTCAGATACTCAGGCCTAACTAGTTATCAGAAAATCTATTTTAAAAACCTTGAGTTTCCTCAATGTGGTCAAAGCTTCAGTCATCATTAAACTTCTCTAGCACCAAAGAAACTACCTGAGTAAAATATCCTTTTACGTCAAATGAGTTCAGTTTTGGGGGGAGAATCAAGAATTCTTTCAGAAAACCTTGTCCACTGACAACACTGGTCACTTGCAGCCCAAGATCAATGGTTCCTGGATGAAAGACAGTGAATTACTTCTACCTGTCTCTGCTCTAGATCCTTTTTAGTTGACCATTCAGTGTCTGACTTGAGGCAAGACATACAAATTTTTCTCTGCCTTCATTTCCCCTTCTGTAAAGTCGAGATGATAATAGAGGCCCACTAGGTATGTTTTGACAAGTTAAAACAGATGAAAACGACTTTTGAGATTAAGAGCTAAAACAATGCTAATTGTTTTCCATCACTACTCATATAATATCCTAAATATTCATCCTCTTTTTATCTTAAAGTGGGGAGTGTGATTATTTTTTGTAAGTTTTTGTTTGCCAATCATAAAGAATAAGCCATCAGTAGACAGGAGGCCAGACTGGTCAACACAGTGAGACCTCATCTCTACAGAAACTTAAAAAGAATAGAGTACACACATAGAATACACACTGCAGTAAAACCCTATAAATGTAAAGAATGTGGGAAAGATTTCAGTAACCAGACTTGGCATACACCTGTAGTTCCACCCAACTATTTAGAAGGCTGAGGTGGGAAGATTGAACCCAGGAGTTCCAGGCTGTAGTGAGCCATGATTGCACCACTGCACTCTAGCCTAGGCAACAGCAAGACCTTATCTCAAAAAGAAAAAAAAATGGAGGCTGAGGAAAACAAAATGGAGGAGAAAGTAGTACGTGATTATTAGGAGCTGCTGGGGAGAGGAAGGGATCTATAACTAGGTAAATCACTTATTTTCTGGATTTCAGATTATTTTAAACTGAGGGAGATGGGAAGGGGTTGATCTGAGGTGGTCCAGTGTGTCCAGATTGGTAGCCAGTACCCACATGAACTCAAATAAAATGGAAAATTCAGTTCCTCACATTTCAAGTACTCGTAGCTACATGTTAGTGGCCACTATATTGGACAGCACAGATATACACCTCTTTTTTTCTGCCCAGGCTGGAGTGATCCTCCATTCACTGCAACCTCCCCATCCAGGATTCAAGTGATTCTCCTGCCTTAGCCTCCTGAGTAGCTGGAATTACAGGCATGCACCACCATGCCTGGCTAATTTTTGTATTTTTAGCAGGATTTTGCCATGTTGGCCAGGCTGGTCTCAAACTCAAGTGATCCGCCCACCTCAGCCTCCCAAAGTGCTGGGATTACAGGCGTGAGCCACCGCACCTGGCCACATCTCTAATTTGAGAATTTTATAGCATCACAGGAATTATGGCCAAAGGCCCTGCACATTCAAAGTCATACCACCAATCAAACTGCCAAGAGTACAGCTCTGGTTCTTTGCTTAGTTCTAGGAATAACGATCACCAAAACAATCAGGAAAGAAGGGATCTAATCTCTTCAAATCTCTTGTTTTCAATTAAGAGATTTCAATTGAAGAGATCTATTAACACCTGCTTTATCATTGTGTTTAAGGTCAAGAAAACTACCAAAATCATTTTTATGTCCACTACTATAGGAAAATGAATCTTTTAAAAATAATAATAATAAAGACAGAGTCTTGTTCCATTGTCTGGGCTAGAGTACAGTGGCACAATCATACCTCACTGCAGCCTTGAACTCCTGGGCTCCAGCAATCCGATCCTCCCACCCCAGCCTTTCAAGTAGCTGGGACTAGAGGTGCACACACTATATCTGGCTTTTTTTTTTTTTTTTTTTTTTTT